AAGAGGAAGTGTTGGATTCCAACACTGAAATATAAAATAAAAAAGACAAGAAGAATGTTTGGCAGTTGTGGTGGCACACAACTGTAATCCCAGCACTGGAAAAGTAAAGAAGGAGGAGCATATGATGCCAGCCTGGCTACAAAGTAAGATACTGTCTCAGAAAGGTGGGAGGAGAGCAGGGGAGGAAGGAGGACTGGAAGGTAGCTCAGTCAATAAATTGCTTACTGTGCAAGCATGGAGCATGGGTTCAATTCCAACACCCACATAAAGAACAACAATAACATTGGGTGTAGGAGCAAGTCTTGTTACACTAGCACTGGGACAGTAGAAGAGTCTACGGTTTGCTGGCCGGCCAGCCAGTCTAGCACAATTAGTTATCAGTTTCAGGGTCAGAGAGAGATCTTATCTCAAAAAATAGAGGTGGAAAGAAACTGAGGAAGACACCTGCTACCAACCCCAAGCTTCTGCCTGTGCACATATACATGCAAACACACACACACACACACACACACACACACACACACACCAGAAATAGTAAAAAGAATTCTACCTGTTGTTCAAGGTCTAACTCAAATGTTACTTCCTTTAAAGAGCATACATAGTCAGAATGCCTAGGTTCAACTCTGAAGTCGTTTTTAAAGTTTTTTAACCTCTCTGTGCTTTTTCTTCTTTTCTAAGACAGAGAAATAAAAATTTTTATCATACCTAAGAAAATAAGTGATCATGCAAGTTTATGGGAAGCTTTAAAACACAATACATACCCCCCAAATATTTAGTATTACTTTTTAACCTTTAATGATCAATACAATAGATGCACTACAGATTTTCTTTCTTTGAATTATTTTAGTTTTTCAACAAAAAGCTAGACATTGCTGAAAGACTAAAAAGCCTCCAAACTCAACAAGAGGAACTTGTTGCCTAAGGGGTTGGATGAGTCACTCCAGTGCCTCTGTCCTGTCTGAAGACTGTGCAACAAAAATACAACCCTATTACTCTCTGGTACAGAAGCAAAAATCCAAATTCCTAGACTCCACTCCACACATAATAATACATAGTCTCTGAGGTGAAGCAAGCAGGTATACAAAAAGGTGGGAACAAAAGATAGTATTTAGGGGTATTAAGAAAATGTTTTGGAAAAAAAGCAAAGAGAAATCTTGGGTTTTTTTTTTCTTACTCTACTTATAAACAGTGGTGAATTTATCTTATCCTCCTCTCAGATTAAAATTCCCCAATAAAAAGCAGATTAGCTATTTTACATAAAACTAAACTGAACACTCCCACTAGATACATGAATTGTAATATTGCACGTTTCATGTCTTTGTACTATATACATGCCTGTTGCCCTTAGAGATCAGAAGTGGGTATTGGATGTCCCTGAACTGGAATGAAGGACAGTTGTGAGCCACCCTGTGTATGCTGGAACTTGGAACCCTGACCATCTGGAAAGGTAGCCAGTGCTCAGAACCTCTAAGCCATCTCTAAGGGCCCTTCATTTTAGATTATATTTAGATATCTGTATGCTCTATACTCCATGTTATTGGCAATCTTGTACTTTTCAAACTTCTTGTAGTATTTGATATGACTGTTACCATCTCCTTACACCTGTTTCTGTTCTTGGTTGGGAGACAAGTTACTCTAACATTTAATTGCTATTTTAACTTTGTTATCCTCTAATTATGCTTTTTGTCAGCTTCCTTATTCATTAGCTGGCAACCTTAGGCAAACATCTTAACCCCATCAAACCTCAAGTTTTTTTCAAGATAAAATAATGATTAAGAGAAGTTAATGATTCCTGCTTATATCTACCATCATAATTAAGTATAATGATACTTTGCAAATGTTAATCTCCCTTACTGATCCTTTCCCTCTTATCACCATATAAATGTCAAGGTCTAACCTTGGACCTTTACTCTTTAATTTCAGCATTCTCCTTAGTAATCTCATCTTGGCTCTTAAATTCTCTAGTTATGTCTTAGACATGACTCTCAACTCTTCACCTTCCCTTTTGATCAGTTCTTACACCAGCTGAAACACCTCACTTCAGTCTCTCTGTGGGCACTGAACTCATCTTGTTCCCTGACCTTACAACATAGATCTTCTGACTACAGCGGCACAGAGTCAGTAGGGGAAATCTGAAAAGGAAGACTTCTGTGGCTTATGTATAAATTTCCCAAACTCAAAATTCTGCATGGGCAACTTTATTTTCACCAGTCTCTCCTCCCTGGGACTACACAGTTTTTCCTAACCTAAGCACATCTTCCTGAGCACAGATGCCTCAACTTCTCTTTCTTACATGTCACTTCCTTCCTACTGCCTAACTCGGGCCCTTGACTCTTAACTGGATGAACAGGCTCCCAGCTGGAGAAGTTGGAAAGAGAAACTAAATGAGGAATGAAGTCTTCTGCACACCAGAACATCCTACTTAGTGAGTTACTTGAGCCCCTTCACATCTTAAGGAAGAAACATTAGGCCAATTGATCCTAATATCTCATTAGGACTACAGATTCTATCTGGATGAGCAGGGGAGATGGTTTTCCACCAGTTCAAGGATAAGAAAAAGGCAGAGACACACTGTTACTAAATCAAATTTCCTACGTACAAATCTGGCTGCATCGTTTATCCCTGCATAACTCACAAGTCACTTGTCATTGTTGAATCTGTCTGACCATGAACTTGAAAGCCTTGTATGGTCTCAGCCCAACCTAGCTGTTTATTCCAGCCCAACTGAGCTACTCTCCAATCTCTTCTCATAATCATTCTATTCTCTTCACCCAGAATATTCCCCATATCCTTTATATGAAATTTGTACGGGCAACTTAACCTCCAAACTCCAGTTTCTGGGTCACCTGCTTCCTAAGCACCACATCCCCATTTCCTCACTGCAGCTGTTGATAGCTTTCCTGTGCTCCTTATCTTGCTGTCTTGTGTGATACAGATAAGTATACTTTACAACCTCTCCTAGCAGTGTTCCTAGAACACAAAGTCTAGCTTACGTCTCCTCTGTCCTAGCACCTAACACACTGTCTTACACACTGCAAGCACTAAGTGATTAGACAATTTTATAATTTACTGTGTATATCAGGGCAACTTCTGGAAGTTCTATATCAAACAGATTACTGAAAATAAATTTTTGAAATACTAGCTATAATAGAAAACTACCAAAGAAAACAACAGAGTTTGAAACCAGTTTGGAGAATGCAAATAGGAGAACCAAACATTTCATCAGAATACAAAGGAGTAGTTTTCAGTTGGGAAAAGTCAGAAAAGAAAAAACGCCTTCTGATGAGGTATCCAACAAAAATCTCTAGAGCTAATCCTGCCCCAGAGGGTTGCATTAACTGAGTAAACACAATGGCTGTTTACGATGAGTAAACCAATTCTGTCAGTCTACTTTCACTTCTCCCTCTGTGGAGTTGCTGCTTGCATCACACAGAGGGAATAATTCAGAAGTCCGCCATAATCGTCAGGACACCCGGCACAGCAGTCCACCTGCACACTGGTAAGAAGGGGACCAGGAAGGGAGCGGCTGGGGGAGTCCCCTACCTGGGAGCTGGCGCACTGCAGTGGCAAGAAGGCCCTGGAGGAACGGAGAAAGATCTGAGGAAACATTACTCAGCTCAGGGGCAGCAGGAAGGACTCAAGATTTCCAAATCCGAAGCCACTGGCCTTAATAAGTAAATAATGAGCCTGAATTGTCTCTGGCTCTGTAACAAAATGAGACTGAGGAAGGGCAGGCAAGAGGTGGGGCCTCAAAACACTGGTAAACTTAGTCTCAGTTCCATGGCATGTATCCCAACCAACTATAAGCAATCTTTGTTTCAACATTAAAATCAGACCAATTATATTCTCCCTCCTTGGCCATCCCTTTTTGGAATCTGCCCCTACCTATACTTAAGTCCATGGAACCAGATTCAGGGGTTCATTACACAACTTCTCTCCCTCTGAATGATTCAAACACAGTTTAAAGTCCAAATTTAGACCAACAGGTTACAGCTCACCCTTCTCCTTTTCATTTAATCCCTTTTCTTCTACATTCACTAATCTTATAAAAAGCATTTTCTCACAATAAAGCACAGACAGGACATGAAGTACTTTCACAAGTATCTTTGAGAATCTAAGTAACTAATACTGCTAGGAAGCAAAACTATCAAGACATGGGGTTCAATGCCCCACTCTTTTCTTTCTTTCCCTTCTTTCTCTTTTAATTCCAACACTCTGGAGGCAGAGGCAGCTAGAACTCTCTAAGGGTTCAAGGTCAGATTGGCATACACAGTGAGTTCTAGTGAGTTAGGGCAACATAGATTCTGCCTCAGACAAGCAAACAAGAAACCTGATGAAATAAAAATTTATTTTGAAGTTTACAGGCAGCGAGATAAGATTCTGTCTAATATGAAAATACAAATTCCTTGTGGTGCCCTATGCAAATGTACCCAAGTTCTAATTCCTTATTTTGGAAAATACATATTGGAAGACCAAATTGTTTATATGATTGAAAGTGGAGATTACAACTTTTTTGATCCAACTAATGTAGTTATATATTAAATAGGTCATTTTGAATAAAATCATAGCTATACTTTATTTGTATAAGAAGAGGAGTTATTTAGTCTGATAAGAGATCCTCTAGACCAAATCCAGCTTCACATTTTCATAGGATTGAAGTGGTCTACCAAAGCCATGTATAAGCTGACATCCTGAGTTCCATATTACCAATTTCCATCTCATCAACCCTACAGGTAAGGCTTCTAAATATAATTAATCAACTTCACAAATCAATGTGGTTAATAAATAATAAGGCACTTGGACAGTCAGACTTGATGGTACATAACCTTAGTGTTGATGCTAAGGAGGTTGAGGCAGATGTACCATGAATTCACCTGGGTTCTACAGAGCATGGCACTTAAAAAATAAATGGACAGGTTATAGTAACTTTCAATTTTTATTTTATTACTTTTATCACATGAAAATATTTCGAGCCAAATTTTTATTAGTCAAATATATGATTATAAGTAAAAATAATTTAATGGCAATATTAAATAGCAGCAGCACATAGTTATATTTTATTATATGTTGAAAAACTGGACAAATTTCCTTTAATGTTTAATGTTGTTTTATAATACTAACCAGGAAAAACATTTTAAAACTACTCCCAAATTAGCTGCTATTTAAACAAATATTGTTAAGCATAATCAAATTAACAGAGTCCTCTTTCACAGTGTAAGAACGGTTATGCAATTTAGGAGTAAAGGAGAAAGAAAAGAACACGTATAGAATTTTTAATTTACATTTTTATACAATGTGCCAAATATTTGACCCTCAAAAAAAGATTACAAACTTCATATTACTGTTCATCTTAAAACCCCTTTTAAGTTTAGAAAAAGTTACAGTTTACTACATATATTTTCTTTAACAAGTAGAATACAGCAATAATAGGAACTGACTTTCAGTTGGTAAAGGTATTTTACTTGTGTAGGGTGTTGGTAATTACTGTAAACCTCTGCTTCAGGAACTCTCTTTTTTGTACCAGAAAGTTTTCAATAATATTGGCTTCTTTGAAGAGTCCATCTAACTCGTCAATGTAAGATGCATCTACTGCTGCTCTCTCACTAATAGGGAAAAAGGCTTGATATTAAAATGAGTTATAAAATCTAGACATGCCATCATTGTCATGTTCTTTATACTGTATCTGCTAGCGATTTCAGTTTCATGGCTTTGCCTATGATAGAGCTTAATTAATTTACTAACATTCTTCAAATATTTTTGACTTTTTAAAAAGTCTAACACACAGAAAGTACATCTTATATAGTTACCTTTAATTATAAAGATATAAATTATTTATATATATATATATTTTGTTTTTAAATTTAAATTAGAAACAAGGTTGCTTCACATGTCAATTCCAGGCCACTCTCCCTTTCCCTCCCCTCTTCCCATGCCCTCCCACCAACCCCCCCCAATATCCCCTCATTTCCCCAGGAAGGGTGAGACCCTCCATGGGGGTGTCCATAGTCTGTCATTTCATCCAGGGCAGGGCCTAGACCCTCCCCAAAGAGTTCAGGGTGAGAGTGCATCTCTCACTGTTAGATGGGAGCCCAAAGTCCATTTGTATATCTGGGATAAATACTGATAAGGCTCAATAGAATACCTAGGCCTTCTCACTGACACCCACATTCAGGGGGTCTTGATCAGTCCCATGCTGGATTCCCAGGCATCAGTCTGGGATTCAAGAGCTAACCCTTGTCAAGTCAGCTGTTTCTGGGGGTTAAACCAGCCCAGTCTTAATGCCTTTGATCATCAGTCCTCCCTCTCTGTCACTGGATTTCTTGAGTTCAGCTCAGTGCTTAGCCGTGGGAGTCTGCCTCTGCTTCCATCAGCCACTGAATGAAGGTTCTGTTTCCCAGACTCTCTGGCCATGGGATTGTAGGCTGGCACTCCCCAGATCTATGTCTAAAATCCATATATGAGAGAGTACATTCCATTTTCTCTTCTTGTGACTGGGTTACCTTGCTCAGGATGGTTTCTTCTAGTGCCAAATGATATAAATTATTAAAATTAAACAAACTATTACAGTATAGTGACTGTCCAGTAATTTATAAACCACCTGGTAACACTTCAAATTCTCAGGCCAATATTCAAATTCAGCCTTGAAATGTATACTAATAAAGTATAAATATACAAAATATTTATCTTTAATACAACACCATTAACACTAATTTCACCAAAAAACACTATTCTTAGCCAGGTGTTAGTGGCTCATGCCTTTAATCCCAGCACTCAGGAAGCAGAGGCAGGAGGATCTCTGTGAGTTCGAGGCCAGCCTGGTCTACAGAGGGAGTTCCAGGACAGCCTCAAAAGCAATACAGAGAAACCCTGACTTGAAAAACAAAACAAAACACTATTCTCAGAGATATATCTGAATAAAAATTTAAAGATACTACCATCTAGAAACCAAACTACATTCATTCTGGTATTAGTGCTAGAAATATGACAAACTATGTTTAGACAAGTTGGGGATTACTCCCTTAAAATAATCAACTCGTCTATTATAAGGGATGAAGATAAAATTGTAACTTCAAATTTCTAATTATCAGATAAAATTTAAGCCATGAAATTAAATTTTTCATTACTGATTTTTCAGGACAAATGGATTTCTAACAGAAATACTCAAAGAATCATAATTACTTGCCTTAAAATCTTTGCATATGTAGACAACATCAGATTAATTTCCTTGCTCATATCTGTTCAAAAAATTGAGTAGGTTGTAAAATCTAACAAAGTTTCTGCATGTTATAGTCAAAACACATAAATACAAGCACTATTTATACATCACCGCTCAAATCCTTCTCCAGAGCATCCTCTTTATAAAGGAGTCCAGAACATTCAGAGAAGGAAGAATCCGATTTTCCAAGAGAGGGTACCTGTGGACTATCTGACATCTGGGGCTAAGAAAAGAAAGAAAACAGATCAATGGTAAGATCTTTAAGATACACATATTCTGTTCATTAAAAAAGCAAACAAAACTTTTTCAGAGGGGTTGGAGATATGGTTCTGTACTACAGTTTTTGCCTAGCATCCTTAAGGCTGTAGGTTTAATTCCCAGTATTTCAGAATTAGAAATGAAACTCTAAGCTTGGGGCTGGGGATTAGTTCAATGGGAAGGCACTGGGGAAAAAAAGCAGACACTCTATACCAGTTATTTACATTTTTATTATCAAGGAACCCTTTAGACACAAGAGACACCTTGCTCAAAAAAACTGAATTTTGTGTAGCTTTGAGATTTTGAAAATGGCTTTTAACTCTTAATAAAAAAAAACAGTCTTGTATCTTGCACCAGTGGATGTTTTTATAATATGGTAACTGTAACTTAGACAACAGCCAAATTGTTGCGAAATTTTGCAATATAGAGACGGTGGAGATGGCTCAGCATTGAAAGAAAGCACTAACCACTGAAATCTGATGATCCAAGTACAGTCCCCAGACCTGCCTACAGTATGTAAGAATTTTACTCATCTTAGCAAATAATTATGCATGTAAAGTCCCATGTATCAAAAAGACATGGACTCACGTTGGTTACGTTTAAGACCATAAACTACCAAGAAGAAATTCCTAAGTAGATTTTTATAGGTCTAGCTAGGTAAAGTCAACATAGTTCCTGCTAGACAGTCCTCTCCCTGGGACTATGAAAACACTAAATTCTACTTACCAATGGAACTTTCTTGAAGAAAAGAAACCAGAAATAGGTAAAATATAATAAAACACTCCAGGAGCATAAAGCTCACCTCCAATTCTCTTGATCTCTTGCAGTTTCTAGAATCAGGTTTTACAAGGTGGTTTGCCATCATACTCTGCAGGCACAAGCTATAAAGTTTAGATAGAGATTTGTCAAATTTAGGTACCAACTCCACACTACAGTCTTCTTCACCCATGTCTTTTTCCCACTTCTACCATCATTAATTTCTGCTCTACTGCTAAACTTCATTTCTCCCTTCTCTATTTCATCCTGTCTCTTAAAACTTTTCATCCAAAAACCTGCTGAGACAGTAAACTCAAGTTTTATCACATGGCATCCAAGGTCATCCATTATCTGAGACCACTTTTAACTACTTGTCTATAAAAAATGAGCTCAACTAACCTCATTAGTAATTCTGTCTTCTTTTAGCATCATAACATTTAAGATTCTTCTCTCTTTATAAAATGTTAATGTTAAGATTATAGGTTAGATCCTCTTGGGACCCTTTCCCCCACTCTGAATTGCCTTGATCAGCCTTGAGATGAGGGTTTGTGTGTGTGTGGTCTTACTGTAACTTGTTATGCCATTTTCGTTTGAGATCCCTGGAAGGCCTGCTCTTTTCTGAAAAGAAACGGAGGAAGAGTGGATCTGGGTGAGAGGGGAGGTGGGAGGGAGAGGCTTGGAGGAGTAGAGGGTGAGAAACTGAGTTGGAATGTAATATATGAGAGAAGAATAATTTTTTTAAAAGTAGAGGTCAGAGCTCCCCTCTTTTTGTCCTTTCAAGAAGGAAGAAAGAGGAGAACTCTAGAGATGGTTGATCACATTTAAACAAATAAAACTAGGCTATCCCAGAAACAGAATCTCTTCATTCTTCTAGTCTGAGATTGTTTCCATTGCCCTACCCGTACCTTAATATGGTATCAAATAAATTCTGAAGTTATTTTCCTAAGAATCTGAACTGTTAAGGTTTAAACTTGAAAAGGCATTGGAATTTAAAAGGATGGCCTTTACATCTTAGAGTTGAAGAACTTTTTACATTCAAAGTATTTGCTTCTCTTTTTTTGTTTGTTAGTTTGTTTTTTGAAACAGGGATCTCTGTCTTTGTAGGCCAGGCTAACCTGAAACAGAGATCTGTCTGATCTGCCTGCCTCTGCCGCCAGAGTGTTGGGATTAAAATAAAGGCCTTTGCCATACACCTGGCTGTTTCTTTTAAATACCATGATTAGATTAAAGCTATAGAGAATCCCTGTACTTATACATAATATGTATATGAAACAAGGGCAAAAAGCAGATTATAAAGACACTTCTAACGTCAGCACGGTACTTCCAAATGCCTGCCATTACCTTCAGGGTGCTAAGCTATCGTAGTAATGTGCAGAAACTGCACGTATGGATGGACTGAGGTTCCTAAGGATTCGAAAAGTATTTCAGGGAAACCACACAAGGAAAAAGTCTTCTTCCCTTTTCTGCTTTTTTCTTTTCTCAAACTAACAATGTATACACACACACACACACAATAAAACTTGTATAATTAGGCAATTCTGTGTTTGTAAAAGTGATTTCTGTCATAATTTAAGACTCCTAAATAGCCAAAGTCTATTAACAGGCAGGGCCTCGCGCTATGAACATTTCCGTGGCCTGGGGCTACACCATCTAAGGCGTCACCTTGTGCAACTGTTTGCTGCAGCTTGTCTAGGTTTTTCTTCTGCGGGAGGTGGTTGGTTTGGTTTCAGATTTTCGGGGACTGAAATTCACCACATAAAGCAGGCTAGCCTGGAACTCACTGGACAGCCGAGGCTGGACTCAAACTCGCAGCAATCCTCCTGTTACCGTGCTCCGAGTGCTGGGATTACAAGTGTGTGCTACCACTGCTGCTCCATCCAGCGCTCTTCACTACGCGATTGTCTCCTCACGCCATTTGCCCGCCTCTTTCCCTCGCCTCTCTCACACCTTCCAGTTTGTGCTGCGGGCCCCACACCGGGCCCCAGCCCCGGAGAGGCCGCGCCCAGCCCCACCCACTGCTTTCCTTCCCACTCGATTTCCCCCCACGTCACGCGCGCTCACCCTCTTGTCCCACTGGCGAGCGGAGATTCGGCCACGACCCGCCGCCTCAGAACAGCGAAGGCTTTGCGCTCCTCTGCGCAGGCGCCCCGGTGCACCGCTCCCGGCAGGCAGCGCGCGCGGCGCGAGTCACGTGACGGCCTCGCTGGCTTGGTCCGCTAGGAGCCTCGCTTCCGTTTATTTCCCGCCTTTTTCTCTCGCCTCCAAGAACCAGAAAGCCCGTTTCCCACGCTGCGGAGAAGTTAGAGTAAACCTCGAAACTGGCCTCTAGGAAGGAGGGGGGCGTTGCTAGGGGCGCCCGGGCGTGTGCCAGGGTCAGGAATCTCAGCAGATGAGCATTAACTGTTTAAAGCTGCTCCTCTCAGGAAAGGGCGCGTTCGGCAGAGGGCGTCTCCACTGGTTCCTCTAGCCCACGGTCTCCATCAGTGTCCCTCTATGTCTTTGATGTGACCAAACCCTGAATCACACCCTTAAAATAACTTTATGGATATGTCAGTAAGTGTAGCTGACCTAGTTAGCGTTCAAAAAGTATTTAGTAATTCGAATGGTGCACACACTCGTGGCTTAACTGTACTGGGTACTTTTGCATGCCGACTTTGACCTGTGGTTTCACAGATGAGCTTCCTAACTTAAACTCTTTCCGGTGAGTCAACCTGGTGCGGAAACAGTATATTCCCTCATAAAACAAAGGTCAATGGCATGCCTCCAGTGAACCCTGAGCACATAATTTACGCTTTGAAAGGCTGTTATTTAACACGTGGTCTTTTGTTTTTGTTTTCTTTTTGTTAATTCTGCCTAACTAGTTCCTTCCCCGATGTGGGAGGTGACGGGCACCTGAAAGTGTGTTGAAGTTTGTACTATTTGCAGTATTAATACACTTTTTGTAAAGTTGGGTATGTTCGTTTTATAGAGCTTTCCTGTCCCTGAGTTCAATCTCTAGCACCCATAAATCAATGTATACTTGTAATTCTAGCACTGGGAGGTAGACGCTAGAGGATCCAAAATTTAAGGTCATCCCTTGGCTACTTTTGAGGCTAGCCTGGGATACTGGAGACTACATTGAAGTTAAAGACCATCTTTTATTAAAAGACTATAGCCAGGCAGTGGTGGCCCATGCCTTTAGTCCCAGCCCTTGGGAGGCAGAGGCAGGCAGATTTCTGTGAGTTCCAGGACAGCAGGTTCTAAAGAGTGAGTTCCAGGACACACACACACACACACACACACACACACACACACACACACACACACACACACGAAAAAAAAACCTGTCTTGAAAAACAAAAAAGCAAGACTATGACTTCTCTAAATTTTTTGTATAAACATGAAATAAAAATTTAAGAATTCCTAACAAATATAATATTCTCCACTATTTATTTGGTTTTGTTGGCTTGTTTTTTAACAAACTGGAATTTATAACCCTCTTATTTCAGTCCTAACTATCCTATATCATTATCATTTGCACTGTTATTTTTAAAGGTCCATTAAATCAAAAAGTCTGAGTGATGCTGGTCTATTCCTCTCCCAGCCTTCACATTGCATTATATCTAAACAGATAATTATCCATTTAGTTCTTAAAATATTTCTAAGGAAAAAAGGTTCTATCCTAATGCATAAATGTTTTCATCATATTAAAAGAAAACTATTATATGCTTTTCTTGTTTTAATGTTACCCTCATTGTGTGGGTAATGAATGAGAAGATTGGATGGTTCTGGTTAGCCAGTGCCTTAGAATCTTCCAAGGGCTGGCGGCGGGTCCATAAAAATACATAGGACACAGAAACATATAGCTTACTTACTCTGTATCATAGAAAAAAGAACCTTGTACCAAAGTCCCCAAAACTTAGAAATGTACAAATCATTAGTTCTACAACTTTAGGACTGGAGGAAGTTCACTGGCACTCACTCTGCTTCTGGTCATTTTGTTGTGCATGTGTGGGGATTGAACCGGGATCATGTTCTTGCTAGTCAAATGCTCTACAGTTGAGCTAACGCCACTGATCGCTTTGTGACCCTACTTCATTCAATCTTTTGTGTCGCTAGGAGGATGAAAACTTGCTGTTTTAAATTCAATCCCATCTGTATTCTTACCACATTCTTCCTTAAAATGTTAGTTTTTCTTCTGGTAATTCATCACACCAAGTCCCTCCAAACATCTCACCACAAACTTCCTCTGGCTATGGACATGATGTTTTCATGACTTTAGGAAATTAAAACTCTGCCCATTTTGTTTTGATTTTTTTAAATTCAAAACTACCTGCTTACACAGCATTTTTTTCCTAACTTTAGAAGTCCTCTTACCATTTCTGTACTGGGAAAAAAATAGTCACTTTCAGATTCCATTGCTAACAAAGCAACAATTTAGCTTGTATCCAGGTAAAAAGGCCCTAAGAAGTACTGCTATTATTTCAAGACTATATTTGCACTCCTGTCTTTAGAAGTAACATTTTAGAAGACTATATCAGTGAGTTAATTAGAAAGCTGTATTAATGAGTTAAAGATAAACCTTACAAAATAATCTCCCTAAGTCATATTTCAAATATTTTAAGTCAGAATGTTTCCACCATCCTAGGAATAGACAGTTCTGGTTTGCCTTTGTGTTGGGGGCAGGAACCTTGCAGGTGCTAACATGCTATAGTATGTATATGGCAGTGAGAAGACAAGCTTCTAATGTCAGTCCTAGGGTGTCCACTGAATTACCTGGGCCAGCTGGCCCTGGCTCTTCTGGGGATTCTCCTGTCCACACTTCTTATTTCCTGTAGGTGCACTGGGATTAGACACTGGTACTACTGTGTCCAGATTTTAGTCTATTTTCACTCAAATTTTTTAAAATCTTTTTTAAAATTTAAATTAGAAACAAGCTTGCTTCACATGTCAATCCCAGCTCTCTCTCCCTCCCTTCCTCCCCCAAGCCCCCATGAACCCTCCCACCCTGAGTACCCCACCCAATCCCCACTCCACTCCCCAGGGAGGGTGAGGCCCTCTATGGGGGATCTCCAGAGTCTTCCATACTCAAGTTTTTTACTCAAAAAAATTCAAATGGTGGGACAGAGGAGACAATTCAGCCAGTAAAGTTCTAGCCACACAAGCATGAGGACCTGTGTTCAATCCCCAACTAACTCACAATAAAAAAAAATTGTCTGTCATAGGACCAGTGAGATGACTCACTGCCAAGCCTAAAGTCTGAGTTCAGTCCACAGGCCCACATGCTGGAAGGAGAGAACCTACTCCTGCAAGATGTCCTCTGACCATCTATGTACTACGGCACACGAATCATCTCCCAACCCCCACACACATATACACACTGAAACAAAAAACTTTTTAAAAAGCTTATTAGCATGATGGCACACACTTGTAACCCAGCACTGGGGAGGTGGGGACAGTCCGGCACCTGGGTCTCACTAGCCCATTAGCTTAGCCAGCCAAATCCCATGTGTACCTCAGATCCTAGTAGGAGACCCTGTCTCAAAAACCATTAAGGACAGTTCTGAGGAACAACACCTGAGACTGGCTTCTGCCTCTACATGAATACACAACTCCCACATATGCACACACAGAAAAAAAATTCTAATGATACAGATTTGGTCTGATGTGATTGTAAAAAGGCTTTATGAAAACAGGCTGTTTCCAAGCCATTGAGAAGAAAATCTGAACAGCCCCTATCATGTGTCATGTGATACCATGTTGAGCCTGGGAAGGAAAACTCCTGAATAAAGTCTTAAAGGGAAGAAAACACCATACAAAATATGTATTCCCCCCAAAATGTATTTTATGTGTATTTTAGGTATAATGACTGCATTACAGACATTCTCTGGTGTGTTTGACAAAAGCATTCCATGCTGAAGTGTGACCAGAGCCTCAGAACAGAGGCCAATGTAAAAAAGGATGCTCTAATTAACCAAGCAGGTTCATTTCCTTATGTTGCTTTCCTAACCTTCTGAAGGAGGCATGGACCTGGGAAGGGCTAGACCCCAGCTTTCCCAGAAGAGATGAATCACCCAATAGTGATGTCTGCATTAAAGGAAATGCCTGTGTTTCTAACACTTTGCTGCAAGTGTGCCTTGGGAAGAGGCACCCTTGGAGGCGGGTCTGAGGCGTGCCAGGGCAGTCTCCTCCCTTTGCTACCTCCTTCCTCCTTCCTCATGCCTCAGTCCTCTTCTCAGACTGCTGCTGGATCCACACCCAGACTTCAAGCTCTCTGTGCCTCCATGCTCTCTGTGGTCCTGGCTGCCTGCTCCAGCTGCTGACAGGGCTGCCACCTTCTACAACTCCAGTATCAGGAAGAGGAAAGAGGCCTCTGCTTCCAGATCACTTCCTCTTGGAGGGAACTATTTAATCCAGGTAAGACATGTCTCTCTCTATTTGTAAACACTGGCATGACAACTAGGGGTAAACAAGCTAAAATGCTATTGAGAGAATTGCGTCTCCTCGGCCACCAAGACAGGAAGTCAGTAATCATATAAGGAACAGAAGCGGGGAACAGGTTGTCTTTCTCTACTAGATGTGGGAGAGTGTCACTTCAGGGCACAGATTCTCTGTTATCTTGTGGAGATTATTAAGGACCCTGGAGAGCTTTTCTTTCTCTTGATTGTTTTCCATATTACTGCAATGTACTGTGCTAGAAAAAATTTAAAGTAGTCACCTAGTGGTTTATTGTAAAGTCCATCACATGTATTCTTCTATAACATTCTTAGATACAGCCTTTGGTATGTTTACAAGCCTCTTTACTATTTGGCCCCATGGAAGAGGGCAGAGTTCTTCTTGCTTTGTTTTCAGACTGTTTCAATGGTACACTGACTTCGCCTCTGATACTCTCTTGTCCACTTGTGAGAATATGAGCTCTAAAAGGCAAGTAGCATCCTAGAATTACTAGAATCAGCTTCAGCTACCCTAGGAACTGCTCAGAACCTCTGCTTCTGGAGCGATAAAGGAAGTCCCAACCCCAGAGCTCCTGCAAGACTGATAATCATAAGATCTGCAGCAGAAGTCTTGGGCAGGTCTGTACTTGGATAGTATAGCATTCCCCAGGAAGATTATTTCACAAGGGAAGGGCTGAATAAAATTATCTCCATTTTGGAGTCAAATAACAAAACCAACCAAGATGTCTTTAATCTCTTTACTTTTTGCCTGTTTTCAGCTGACCAAATTCTGACATGCTCCTGCAGAGGGCCTTTCCTCTTACCTACGGCGCTTTCCCCGTGCTGTTAACCAGGGTCTGACTCTTCCATGGGACTCTTAAAGCACTCTATATTCTTCTGTTCACTGCAGGAGAGAACTGCTCCACCCACCACCCCACCCCACCACTGTTCGCCATCACACAAGTACTCTTCCCCAATGTCCTTGTCCTCTGTTCAAATACGGAACAGTCTTCAAAATTAACATTGACTCTCCTTTCACACACACTCATTCCAAGTATGTCAGTTTCATTTGACCTTTTTTTTTTATACTTAACAGTTGATTAAATATTCCTGTCATTAATGATCTAACTTCCTGTTGTGTTCTGCCCCCATTGCTTCTACATCCCACGTCTACACATCTGTGAGATGGCACAATTGCCGAGTGCTAACTGACTTACTGAACTGAAATGCCACCTGGCCAGTGAGATGGCTCAACAGGTAAAAGGACTGCCTCAAAGCCTGCTGACCTGCGGTCCAGACAGGGAACCCATAAAGAGGGAAGGAAAGACTCGACTCCACAAAGTCGTCCCTCACCTCCACACACATGCCATTACACACTCATACACACATACAAAATGCCGGGGTTTTGGTTTTGTTTTGTTTTTTGGTCTGGTTGGTTGATTGGTTGGGTTTTTTTTTTTTTTTGTTCTTGTTGTTGTTTTTGTTTTTTCGGGACAGGGCCTCACTTTGTAGCACTGGCTGTCCTTAAACTCACTATGTAAAACAGAGTAGACTCAAATTCACAAAGATCTGCCTCTGTCTCCCAAGTGCTGGGATTAAAGGCTTGTGTTGCTACACCTGGCTACAGTGAAGGCATTTTTGTTTGCTTGTTTGTTTGTTTGTTTGTCTTTTAAAGAATTGAAATGCTGAGTGTTGCTCTTGCTGCTGTCGAGATGACTTCCCACCTGATTGTAGAGATTTAATCATGTAGCAGGTCCCCTTTGTTCAGCCCACACCTATTCCACAGAACTGGAGTTCCATAGACAGGGCAAATAGGGTCATAGTTGCTTTTCAAGTTCAAGGCATTTTACTTTTAATACAATGCTAAATTGTAAAGCTCCTAGCAATTTAAAAATTCTAGCTGAATAATATTCTATAGCTGTGTATTGCCTTCCAAAGGTTCTCAACTTTCCTAATGCTTTGACCCTTTAATACAGATCTTCATGCTGTGATGACCCCCAACCATAAAATTATTTTCGTTGCTACTTCATAACTGTAATTTTGCTACTGTTATGAATCATAATGTAAAACCTGTTTTCTGATGGCCTTAGGTGACTTCTGTGAAAGAGTTAAGACCCACAGGTTGAGAAGTACCATAGGAGGAAGTGGCTACTAGGACATTTGCCCCATATAAATGGCTGTTTCGTGGCAGCTCTAGCTATAAGCTTAGAACTGCAGAATGCTGGGGCTGAAAAAAAAGCTGGCCCTCCAGCTTCCTTGTTTTCCAAATGAAGAAACTGAGATCCTGAGACCCTCCCCCCAATTAAGTAACTTAACCCAGGCAAAATTGGACCTCATGAGACCCAATTTTCATCATGCTATTCTGCCATTCCCTCTGTGGCTAGTTTTGAAAGGTTTATACAACTTTGTTTTGAAGACCCAATTCTTTTTTTTTTATTTAAGAATTTTTTTTCATTTTACATTCCAACCCGTTTCCCCTCCCTCCCCTTCTCTTACCTCCCCACTTCTCCCTATCCTATTCCCACCCCATCCACTCCTCAGAGGGGATAAGGCCTCCTGTGGGGAATCACCAAAGTCTGGGATACCAAGTTGAGGCAGGACCAAGACCTTACCCTGAATCAGCCTGGGCAAGGTATCCCACCATAGGTAATGGGTTCCAAAAAGTCAATTCTTGCACCCGGGATAAGTCCTTGTTCCCACTACAGCCCCCATTCCCCAAAACAGAACAAGCTATATAATCGTTACCCACATTTAGAGGGCCTAGTTGGATTCCATACAGGTTCCCCAAGTGTCAGTCCATAGTCGATGAGCTACCACTAGCTTTGGTTGGCTGTCTCTGTGGTTTTCCACATCATGATCTTCACACACACACACACACACACACACACACACACACACACACACACACACCGCTCATATGATCCCTCCTCCCTCTATTCAACTAAGCTCCAGGAGCTCAGCCCAGTGCTTGGTTGTGGATCACTGCATCTTCTTCCATCAGTTACTGGATGCAGATTCTATGATGGGAGCTAGAGTGGTTACAGAGGTAGGCTAGTTTAGGCATCCTCCAGTGATTGCTAGGAGTCTTAGCTGGGGTCCTCCTTGTGGATTCCCAGGAGTTTCCCTAGCATCAGGTTTCTCCCTAACCTCATAATGGCTCCCTCTATCATGATATCTCTTTCATTGCTCTCCCTCTCTGTCCCTCCCCCAACTTGGCCATCTCGAGGATCCCTCATGTTCCCATCCCTCCATCCCCTCGCTTCTACCCGCCTCCCAGTTTACCCAGGAAATCTTAACTATTTCCCCTTCCAGGGGTCCTCCTTGTGTGTCCCTCTTAGGGTCCTCCTTTTTACCGAGCTTCTCTGGGACTGTGGATTGTAGTCTGGCTATTCTTTGTTTTACATCTAATATCCACTTATGAGTGAATACATACTGTATTTGTCTTTCTGGGTCTTTCTACCTCATTCAGGATGGTTTTTATCCAGTTCCATCTATTAGCCTGCAAATTTCAAGATGTCATTTTTTTTTACTGCTGAGTAATACTCCATTGTGTAAACGTACCACATCTTCTTTATTCTTTAGGTGAGGAGCATCTAAGTTGTTTCCAGGTTCTGGCTATTACGAATAATGCTGCTATGAACATAGTGGAGCAAGTGCCCTTGTGATATGGATGTGCTTCCTTTGGGCAAATGCCAAGAGTGGTATTGCTGGAAGAATCAATTCTTGCTATATGCTCCTGGGAGGCTCTATGACACTATTAGGTGATGGCTTGGGAGATGACAATGCTGGAAAAGTACTCCAGGACCTGTGTTCAATCCACAGAATGCAAGTTTAAAAAGCAAGCAAAACTGAGAGGTGCAGTGAGCTCATAACCCCAGTGTTAAGGTGACATAAGCAGGTGGATCCATCATGGAGCTTTCTGACCATCCAGTCTAGCCAGCAGCCAAGTTCCAAGACACTGAGAGGTCCTGTTTCAAAAAAGAAAAAAATATGTGGCCAGTAAATTGGCTCCGAGGATAATGATGCCTGCCACCAACCCTGGCCTCAGAAATGACTTCTCCAAGTTGTCCTGACCTTACACATGTGGACGGACACACACACACACACACACACACACACACACACACACACAAATAAATATTGTTTCTTTACTTTCTAAAAGGATGGATGGTGGTTAATGAATAGTAGCTACAATTGTTCTCTGATCTATACACAACACACACACACACACACACAAACAAGAGTCCATGCATGCATGAATAGTTACACACATACATATGCAAGAGACTATTAATAAACTATTGGATAAAATGTTCAAGACATTCTTATCCACTGGGAACTGTATCTCATAGATTAGAATTGAGAAAGTGAAGAAACATGAGTGAGAAAATTCAGAGAAAAGCCAGGCGTTGGTGGCGCACGCCTTTAATCCCAGCACTCGGGAGGCAGAGGCAGGCGGATCTCTGTGAGTTCGAGGCCAGCCTAGTCTACAAAGTGAGTTCCAGGACAGCCTCCAAAGCCACAGAGAAACCCTGTCTTGAAAAACAAAAAAAAGAAAAGAAAAATCAGAGAAAAATGGGGAGAGGAGTGAAGAGGAGATTAGACTTGCAATCATGATGCACTGAGAGCTAATGGATGTGGGAGCAAAGTGAGAACTTCAAAGTAAATACATAGAACAATATAAATTAGGAGGAATGGGGGTGAGAAAGTTCTTCCATTTAATCAGTCTGTTCTCAGGCTTCCCTATTTTTCTTTCTTTCACTGGGCTTTGAGGAAAGATCTAAGGTCTGTCCCCAAATAGAATGACTTTTTAAAATCTTGGGTTTAACCTGTCTTCCTCCTACCCAAGGAGACTGACCTTTTAAGCCTGAGGAATCAAGAATTATTACATGCTCTCCTTCCCTGGTTTTTGTCAAAGGAACTGCACTTCAAGTTCCCCTAAACTGAATTAGGCAAAATCCAAATAATGTAATAGGAAAATAGCAGTTTAACTTTCTAAGTAATTGGAAATAATATGAATATTTTCAAATTAAAGAGTTGGTAAGATTGGTATAATTTCAGAGCTGCTAGGTCAAGGGGATTGTAAACTGTTTGCACTATTGCCAACTAGAAGAACTTACAGTAATGGGATTATCCACCTCCACCACTATGGTAAAAATTAAGCTATTCCTTACATATTTCAGAAGCTCTCACACTGAGCCATAGTTCCAACCTTCCCCCTTCCTTTTGATACATTTTTTTTAAGTTTGGAGACAGGAGCTAAATTACCTAAGCTTGAACTCACTCTGAGTTACCCAAGCAGGCTCCTGTCCTAACCACTCTTGTAACTGGGGTTACAGGTCTATGCTATCACACTTGATTATAATGCTATTATTAAGTTATTATTTGATAACAATGTGTACATGAGACATGTGTGTGACAGAGGACAATTTTTGTGCAGTCAGTTCTCTCCACCTTTATTTAGGTTCTGGGAATCAAACTCAGATCTCCAGATATGGGCGGCAAGTGCCCAGAACCATCTCACCAGCCATATAATACTATGTTTCATCAGAGTTATTTTCTTTTCTTTTTGCCTTTTTGAGACAGGGTCTCTCAAAACCCAGACTGGACTCTAATTCACTGTGTAACTGAAGAAAATCTTGAACCTCCTGCCTCCTCCTTGAACCTCAGGCCTTTACCTACCAAATGTGATTACTGGTGTACACCAACACGCCCAGGTTTAAATATTTTCAGATCTGATAACAATGTTACTATTTGTGATATGAACAATCTCTAAGTATATAAATACAAGCAAGATGGGAGACAGTATTAAGAGGGCCAAAGTACCACCATGATAAGGTGTGAAGAGAAGGTACTCTACAAAGCATTGTTAATAACGCTGAGAAGGTGGTTGGGAAGAAGGCATGCGTCCATCTTGATGGTTGTCAACATGTGCACCCCAAGAATGGTACCTCCACACTGCTACATTTATTACCAAGGACAAAATAGTCTTGGAAGTATGTGGGATCCTTTCTGAAAGCTATGACTACATTTACACTCTTTATGTTAAAATGATGAAACCTCAAACCTTGGTCCCCCAGCCTCCCTGCTCCCTGGTCCTTGATGAGGCTCCGCCTCTGTCTTCACTAACTTCACTACACTAACTCCTACACCACCACGAGGAATCTCTTGCAACTCCAGCTCCTACAGCACCCATCATACCTTGTCCCACCCACTGGAGTCTGAGTCACTGGAAGATGGGACCAAAGTTTCACTCA